TTGGTAGCAGGTTATAACAGAAAGCATATCTCCCCTAGGTGCACAATGAAGATTGACCTAATGAAGGCTTTCGATTCCATTGATTGGAAGTTTCTGTTTACAGTGATGACAACAATGGGGCTTCCTGCTCAATTTATTTCTTGGATCAAGGTCTGTGTTTCTTCCCCAATGCTTAGTGTTGGAATAAATGGGGGGGGGGGTGTGTGGTTACTTCCCTTCAAAGAAAGGCCTGCGCCAGGGGGATCCCCTGTCCCCTTTTCTTTTCTCTATTGCTATGGAGGTGTTATCCTGTATACTGAATAAAGGAGCAGCTTCTGGTGATTTTCCCTATCATCCTAGATGCAAGAGGTTGGGTATTACTCACCTTGTGTTTGCTGACGATCTATTACTCTTTTCCAATGGTTCTACTAAAGCTGTGGAGAGTGTAAAAGGCTTGCTTGACAAGTTTTATAGGCTTTCAGGACTGAGGTTTAATCCAGAGAAGAGCCAATTATTCTGTGTAGGGATTGAAGAGGCTGATCATGATAGACTAGCTCAGCTGGCTGGATTCCAAAGAGCTGTGTTACCAGTTCGCTACTTGGGAGTTCCTCTAATAGCAGGGAAATTATCTACTAGTGATTGTCGTATTTTAGTAGAGAAGATCACTAAGAGAATATCTGGTTGGAAGCCTAAACTACTTAGCTACGCAGGTAAGCTTCAACTTATCAATTCTGTGCTAAGTAGTCTTTCCTTTTACTGGATGAATGTTTTTATTCTGCCCCTGTCCATCATAAAAGAGATAGAGAAGATCTGTAGTAAGTTTCTATGGGGGATAACTGAAGATTCCATGAGAAAGAAGGCTGTTATGGCTTGGGGGTTATTGGCAATACCAAAGAAAGAAGGGGGGCTAGGCATTAGGTGTCCAAAGACATGGAATGTGGCTTGTACTACAAGGCATATATGGGCTCTGCTTGCAAAAGAAGGGTCTTGGTGGGTTGCATGGAACTATCATTATCGAATCAAGAACCTTACCTTCTGGGAATTGGGAAAATGCAGCACTGCCTCTTGGGTTTGGAAGAGACTGTTAAAGGTCAGGGACAAGGTGGAAGGGTTCTTCCGTTGTTGGGGAACACAAGTGTATTGGAATGATAAAAGGATGCTGTCTTACTCTGTGAAGCAGGTTTGGCAAGATTTGCAGCCGGTTAGGCCTATTGTGGCTTGGTATCAACTGGTTTGGGGGAGATACTCAATTCCAAAACATAGCTTTTTATGCTGGGTTATAACACGAAATAGAATAACAACACTTGATCAGTTGCATAGCTGGGGGAAGGTGGCAAGTGCAAATTGTTTGTTTTGCTCGGCTCATATAGAGGACAGGGACCATTTATTCTTCAACTGTCACTACACTTTCCAGGTGCTGAAGGGATGTTTGCTCATGCTTAATCTAACTTGCCCTCAGTTAAGTGGTTATGATGATTACTTGCAGTGGGCGGTTAGAGCTTTCAAGGGAAAGAAAGCATTAGCCATGATAGGTCGATTGGTTTGGAACTTAGCTGTGAGTTTGATTTGGCGGGAACGCTGTGGAAGATTGTATGGAAGTTCTGCTATGCAGTCTGGGGAGTTGATCAGGACAGTACGCAGGACAATTGAGCTGGCCAGACATGGTAACGCAGCTCTGGATATAGATTGTAGTGCGATTCTTAGTCAGTAAATATAGAGAGTAGTGTAGATCTTGGTTTTATTGTTTGAAGTGTAAAAAATAGAGTGGAGTAGCAGCAGAATCCTGCTAGCTTGCTGCTGTTTGTAAAGATCCAGATGTGAATCCCTTTGGTTTTAAAGGGGTCACATAGAGCTTAATAAATTTTTTTGATATTGCCCATAAAAAAAAAGTTAACAAAAAAACAATCATTTTTAATACAGTTCCAAGCATTTGATCCTAAATCATTCATTAATCCATAAGATAAAGTACATAATTCTCCAAGTCTTTGTTCTCTGACTTTGATAAATTACTAAGTAATAAATAACTAACATAATCTTGTTAACAAGAGGAAAAAAAGTAAAAGAGTGAAGAGACAATTGAGGAAAATGAATTAGTTTTTTATTTGATTGGTCACTCAATTGCGCATTTCTACGATTTATTTTTTTGAGTTACAATTGATCCATGCATTTTTTATATATGAAGAAATGCTCTTGCTGGGCCAGATAATGATATGGGGTGGGGAGGATAAAATGATATCCTGTCCGTAACCATCAAAATTTTTTTTTGTAGCTTTTACTCATATACATCCCATGTCCAGTCAATGCATCAATTTTCTGGATTGACTAGATCGAGGGTGATCGGATACCTATGATCATGAGTTTGATTACGAACCTACTGTTTGGGCATACAGCTCCGGCTCCAAACATTGTGATTTATCGTCACTTTCAATTATGAAATGGATCCAGTTCATGTTCATGGGACATAGTGTCGCTAATAACTTGCAGTATTGTACAATTACCACTAACAAGCGATTAGTTATTGCTGGGGATGATGCATACCTTGGTAATTAATAGACCAAAAGAAAGCATTCGGATCATTTGTTTAATTAACACTTTCAGTTAAAACTTTGAACTGATGTTTTATAATCAGAAATATTTTTGTTGAACCGTCATAATCTCATACACAAGTGGCCGCTAGTGGTGGGTTACAAACTTACTATGGTGGTTGATAAAAACAAAAACCAAGCAAAAGAAAGCACCGGTTGAAGAAGGGAAAAAGATTCCTTGATAGTTTACAAGGCTCCAGTGGCAGTCGAGGTTTTTGTCCGGTTTCATCGCCGGTCGACGATGAAGGAAGGAGACAAGGTAGGTTTGGATTATAGTACTCTTGTTTGCCCGTCTCAAGGGTATCAATTAATAGTCAAATGCCATATGCTTCTTCTTAAATTTAATATGAGAGGTGTTAGCCATGAGATAAGATGTAACTGGCTGACGACAAAAACTGGCTGAACGACAAATCCTCCACCAGCTCCGGTGGATCTGGCCGGCCTCCTTGGCCAGCTTTCCAACCCAATATTTGGCGATGCAGGAAGTTCAAAGAAAAGTACAAAACAAGACCTGACGTTCTAAAAAGGAAGAGAAAATGTATTGTAGAAACCAATGTAACTAGGACAAGGCTGGTGGGAATTTGAAGCTTCTCATGGTGCCCAATATCATTAAAATCACCTAGTATCATCCAAGGTTCTTGAAATCAATTGACTAAAAATCAGGAAAATGTTTTTAGAGTAACTTCATTGTCTTCCAGAGTTTTATCTACTATATCGTTATGTATTTGGTACACTCACTTTTTGGGTGCATTCAATGCACTTACCTCATAATCGTCATTCTGAGCAGATAAAACATGTGAAAACGATGTCAATCATCACTTGTGGTACGATGAACAAGAAAACACATGAATTTGCAAACAAATCATCCAAGGTTTACTTTAATTTGAATGATTTAGAATTTAGAAATGCAGGATTAGGGTTAGGGTTTGCAATTTGGGATTTTGGGTTGAAAATCATAATTCAAGGTTAAGGGGTTAGAATAATGGATGGATGAGTTGTGATTCTATGTTATATTATCATATTAGACTAATGATACCAATTAAAGTTTAAAATTTGATGTATTATGATCATTTTAGAGTCAACGCACCCAAAAAAGTAAGTGCACCGAAGTAGCCACCACAATCTAGGGTATCATATACCTTGAGTATGAAAACGCTATCTAGGCCTTGAATTGACTAATCTTTCGAAAATGATGTTAACTATAACCCTTAAAGATCAAAATCTAGGTCTTAATTCTCTAAATCATATACCCCAATATCAATTCAATTAGAAACAATAATCGACGGTTATGATTTGTCCAAATATAGGCAAAAAATCAGTGCATCATCTTAGGGTTTATAGTTTAAGTTTTAGATAATCAGGACCTAGGATTCACTTATTAAGGGTTAGGGTATAGTATCAGGCCGAAAAATCCTGCTAATTCGAGGTCTAGAGAGCGTTTTCATACTGAAGGTATGCGGTACCCAGACGTATACAACAGGTGATCTAACCGTTAGATATACTTAGATGAGCTCCGGCCGATCTCAACGGTCAATTTTTGTTTTTCATTAAATCAAACTTCGGGTTGAGGTTTAGAAAATCGGTGTCTGGGGTTTATCCATTAGAGGTTAGGGTATAGTATCATACCCCAAAATCGATTTAATTCATGGTCTAGATAGAGATATCTCACTGGTAGTGCTTGATGTATAGTATACGCCTAACATACGCCAGTCTGATCATTTCAGAAAGATCAGTCAATTCAAGGTCTGGATAGCGTTTTCATACTCAAGGTATGCGATACCCCGGATTTCACCCGGGGTACCGCATACCTTGAGTATGAAAACGCTACCCAGACCTTGAATTGACTGATCTTTCTGAAATGATACTATACTCTAACCCTTGAAGATCAAAATCTATGTCTTATTTCTCTAAATCTTATACCCTAAGATCAATTTAATAAGAAACAATAATCGACGGTTATGATTCGTCCAAATATAGGCAAAAAAATGAATGCACCATCTTAGAGTTTATAGTTTATGATTTAGATAATTAGGATCTATGGTTCACTCATTACGGGTTAGGGTATAATATCACGCCCAAAAGTCCTGCTAATTAGAGGTCTAAATAGCGTTTTCATACTCAAGGTATGCGGTACCCCGAATTTCACACGGATTACCGTAAAAAATACCATATATATATTATTTTCTTACTTAATGTATTTTATACTTTTGATTTTACGCAAGATACGATGAAACCATCTCGTATATACATATAAAACAAGCTTAGGTGTCAGATCATTTTTTTTAGGGAAGGGTGTGAGATCATCAATCAAAAGAAATTAAGGTTCCTAGACAAATCCCTAATGATGAAGCCATTTCTTTTTTTAATCCAGAGTAAGCTCTGTATTGGCAATATAAATAGGTCCTGCCATATGCTTCACCTCTTACAGTCAACACAATTCGCAATACCCTCTCTCTCTATGGCGGCACCAACTTCTCTGATCTCTTCAGTCGCGAAAAGGTAAACGTCCTCTTAGTTTGCTGTTTGTTTCAATCCATTCTCCTTCTTCCTCTCCCTTCCCCAGTCTCTGATCTATAGTTCTCTACTGTATTTGATCCCACTCCTTCACCTTGGCCATGGAGAAGCACATATAAGCAATCACTGATCTATTTTCATCCTTCTCTCTTGTTTCTAAGAATAATTGGCGATCTCCTTCTGGACCAATCCACTTGCATGCACATCTGAGAAAAGTGAACAAATCTCTGGTTTCTAAATTTCTAATTTGTTGAGTAAGCACCATCTACTACTCTGTTCCCTCACATGGTTAATTGAAGAGACGTGATTTGTACTTTTCTTGATTGATTCGAATCAGATCGACTTACCCTTTTTAGGCCTAACTAGTTGCCTAGTTGGTCATAGCTTTCTCCAAAGTCAAATGATTGGTCCGCCAGAGTACAATGTTTCATTTCTTTGATTATGAGTGCAGGCTGGAAGGCAAAGTAGCGCTGATCACCGGCGGTGCCAGCGGGATCGGCGAATTCACCGCCAGAGTGTTCGCCCACCACGGCGCCAAAGTCGTGATCGCCGACATCCAAGACGACCTTGGCCAATCCGTGGTCGCCGACACGCTGGGCCGCTCCAATTCCACCTACGTCCGCTGCGACGTCACCGACGAGGCCCAGGTCAAGGACGCCGTCGACAAGGCCGTCTCCACCTACGGCAAGCTCGACATCATGTTCAACAACGCCGGCATCTCCGACCCGAACAAGCCCCGCATCGTCGACAACGAGAAGGCCGACTTCGACCGCGTCCTGAGCGTCAACGTCACGGGCGTGTTCCTCGGGATGAAGCACGCCGCCCGGGTCATGATCCCGCGCCGCTCGGGTGCCATCATCTCCACCGCCAGCATCAGCTGCGCCATGGGCGGTGCGGCCTCGCACGCCTACTGCAGCGCCAAACACGCCGTGCTCGGGCTGACAAGGAACGCCGCCGTCGAGCTGGGCCAGTTCGGGATCCGGGTGAACTGCCTGGCGCCGTACGCGATGGCGACGCCGCTGGCGACGAAGTTTGTCGGGCTGCCGGACGAGGAGCTGGAAGGGGCGATGAATGCTCTGGCGAATTTGAAAGGGGTGACGCTGAAAACAGAGGATGTGGCCAATGCGGCTCTGTTTTTGGCGAGTGACGAGGGGAGGTATGTGAGCGGGCATAGTTTGGTTGTGGATGGTGGGTTTAGTGTGCACAATACTGCGTTTAGGATTTTCAATTACCCCGAAGATGGATCCTCTTCCTGATTATCGATTCTCAAATGGGTCGATCTGGATTGAATTGAGTTACTCTGTTTTCGTTGGTTGCGGTTGTTTGGTTCTGTTTTGACACTGAAGAAGGGGGAAAAAAAGGGTTGGTTTCCCAGCTTGATCAATATTGATTCAGCCAGAGATTGCTATTAACACAAAACTGTTTCCCTGGTGTGAATTTCGTGGTTAGATTATGCTCAAAGGAAACGATTATTATCATGATTCACTCGCCACATCGTGGGTCCTGAGCGTCCTCCATTTCCGATTCCCAACCGAGCTCAAGAATGCTTCTCCTCGCGCCACCTTGGCTTTCCTTCTGCACCTTCTCCGTCTACTCCGGTCGCCACGGCCGAAGGCGACACGCAGTTAACCCGGATGACGTGGAGGCCCAGCTCGCTCGCAAGGTTCCGGGCCAGGCCCATGATTCGCATACTTGGTCGTCGCGTAGCTGTGGCTCCCAAGCCCACCAATTGCGGTGCAAGCACTGGCCGTGAACAAGTCGCTGCCGGATTTCTGCACAAGCACTGGCCAATGGCCATAAAATATATGGACGGTAGATCAAAGTCGTGATGGAATAGAGTACTCTGTTACCAAATTGGGTTATCATCTTATTTTTAAAAGTATTCCGATTTTTGTGCAAATATGCATAGGATAGGACTAGAGGTGGCAATTTCAATCCAATCCACCAATCCAATCCATCAATCCATTAAAAATATCCACCTAATCCAATCCATTTGATCCAAATCCAATTGGATTGGTGAATTCATGGATTGGATCCATGGATCATTGGCAAATTACGGTTTAGTACCTATAATTTTTATTTTTTACATTTTGATACCTAAAATTTTATTTTTTATACGAAAAATATCATTGGAAAATTACGTTTTGGTACCTAAAATTTTTCATTGTGACATTTTAGTACCTAAACTTTTTACATTTTACATATTGGTCCTTGGTTGAGGATGTCATTTGGATTCATGGATAATCCACCAATCCACTTGATCCAATCCATGAATCCACCAATCCATTTGATCCAATCCATTTGATCCATGGATCCACCAATCCAATCCACCAATCCACCAATCCAATCCATTTGCCACCTCTAGATAGGACTGGCAGGTCGATCTGTCAATAACCTTGTGATCAATAATTTCATTCATAATACAATTAGAATTCGTCACATCAAAGCTTATTCTCTCTTCTGGAAAAGTTTTTAATTTTTTCTCTTTTAATCATTAATGGATGATTTCTCACTCGTTTTAAGTTGAAATTTAATTTTTTTTGCACAGTTAGATCAAATTAATTGTGCTCTTCAAAATGATATCCACTTTGATATTTTTTGGAACAAAAAAATTTGAGCCAGTTATTACTAGTCTATACCATATGGTATTAACTGATATTAAATAAGAACATACCATATGGTCTAGAGAGATAAGTGGTATTCCAAGTTTTAGAGAGAGAATCCAACTTGGTTAAATGCTCTTACCTGCTCCCAATTTATACCCGGATGTGGATCCGACAACCTTATCATAGCATTAAATCTCTTATTTCCCCAAATGGGCATGGGCCTCGACCAACGCTCTTGATCACACACATCACCACAAAGGCACATGCGCCAGACTGTCAGTATCGGTACTGATTTGGAGAGACACTTACTTTGTCGTCATGCGCCTCCGAGTAGGGGTTTTCTCCTTGCCCAACTCAAAATAAGCATGGTGGGTTTTATTCTTCCTATACTCATTCTTTCATTGATGCTATGTTAAGTGTGCCTAGCCTCATGTATTAATCTCCTCTAATTGATTTGATTATGATTATGATGGAAGTTAGGGTTTCCAGCCACTGTTTACAAAAATATATAATAGCCGAATTCAACCTAATGCTACTCGGCTACAGGAGAAAGGGAAATTACAAAGAAATCCCTTGAACAAAATAATGTGACAAATAAGTACATGTAATAGTAACGAAGGTAGCTAGGGATGCACGTAAATGGTTACCCAAACTATATATGTTTCACCCAAAATCCCTAGAAAGACTCAATTGAAGAAAAAAAGCTCAATCTCGTGAGAGACGAATCACCTCATCTTTGTGAAGCATGTTTCGCACTTCATCGCAATGGTCAACGGTCTCTTAAGTGCGAGGATTGACATTATAAACTTCTTATGATCCACTATTTAAGATCGAAAATCACGTGTCATCTTAGAAGTCTAGTGAGTTTTGCGTTTTAAAACTTAGGTTTGCTTGATACTAGTAAAGTTCAAATGTGGGACTATTTGATGAATATCAATTAAGGATCTTTCGGCCATCCTTTCACTATCATTTTTGGACTCCATAATCTCAATAAGAATATTCAAGTACATCAGAAAGAGCTTCAAAATATAGTTTTTGTTGCTCTAGTTCAGGGACTGCTTACATTAATTATCAAGAATCAATTATACAAATAGATTTGGGGAACAAGAAGATGATGAGCCACGGTACTCTCTGAGGCAAAGCTCTTCGTCAAGATTTATAAATCATCATCAGACTATGATAAGCATTTTATTCAACTCAGAAAGAGACATCCTAACAAACTCAGAAAGAGACTATGATAAACTCATATGTATGAGTTATTTGTATATAATTCTCTGTTCAAATAACTCATTTCAGTAAAACGTTGTCAAGTGAGTTATTTGTGAGTTATTTAGACCCAAATAACTCACAAATATCTCATACAAACACTCCAGACCGTCAAATTATTGATAATATCCTTCTAGGACATGAGTTGATGCATTATCTCAAAATCAAAAAGCAGGGGAAGAAGGGGTACATGGCTCTAAAGGTTGACATGGAAAAGGCCTATGATAGAGTCGAATGGCCCCTTCCTTCTGGCTATTTTGGATAAAATGGGATTTAACTCTGTCTGGCAAGGTTGGATACATGAGTGTCTTCGATCCTCATCTTTTTCGGTCCTGATGAATGGTACCCCCTCCGGTTATTTCACTTCTTACAGGGGGCTCCGGCAGGGGGATCCGCTATCCCCTCTCCTGTTTGTGCTCTGCACAGAGGGATTTGCGGCTCTCCTTAGGAAGGCGATATCGGGAAAGAGACTGGAGGGAGTCAAGGTTGCCCCTCGTGCTCCACGTATCTCGCATTTGTTCTTCGCTGATGATTCCTATTTATTTTTACGAGGTTTACTCCAGGAATGCGAGAACTTAATTGAGGTTCTAAATGAATATGAGGAATTGAGTGTCCAACGGGTTAATCTGGCAAAGTCTGCAGTGTGCTTTAGCAAGAATATTGCCCTGCCAGACCAAGAATTTTTGGCCACAATTCTAGGAGTGGGTGCGGTAGGGGTCCATGATAAATATTTGGGGTTACCTACGCTGGTTGCCAGATCGAAAATGACTACGTTCCGATACTTGGAAGATAAACTGATAGAGCGATTACAGGGGTGGAAGCAAATAACTCTGTCCTGGGCGGCAAAGGAAACATTGATTAAATCAATCGCGTTGGCGTTGCCTCTGCATGTTATGTCGTGCTTCTGTTTACCCCTCTCTCTGTGTCGTCTATTGGATAGACATGTGGCCCGCTTCTGGTGGGGTGCGGATGAGGCTCATCCCAAGGTTAGATGGGTGTCCTGGCGTAATCTGTGCAGGAGTAAACACGATGGGGGAATGGGATTTCGCCAATTTGAGCAATTTAATCAGGCTTTGTTAGCAAAAATTGGTTGGCGGATCCTCAATGAGCCCCAATGTCTCCTTGCTCAGGTGTATAAGGGGAAGTACTTCCCTCAGGGGACCTTCCTGGAGGCGAAGGCTCGATCACACCCTTCATGGGGGTGGCAGAGTATTCTCTTTTGGCGTCAATTATTGGAAATGGGGCTGAGGTGGCAGGTAGAGAATGGTCACTCGGTTTCTCTTCTCCACTCTAACTGGATACCAGGGCTCCAGTTGGATCCCCCGTGTTATAACCCGCAAGTCTTGCCATAAGGGGGTGACCCTTCGGTGGCGGAGGTTATCTGCCCAGGGGAAGGACGATGGTCTGATGACAAACTGAGTCAGTGGTTTGACCCTCCTACCTGCCGTGCCATTAAGGATATCCCGCTTCTGCGGCAGAATGTTCCTGATAAACTGATCTGGCATAACAAGACGGACGGAGTGTTCTCGGTTAAGTCGGCCTATCATTTGGCGGTGGAGTTGGATAGGAGGAGGGGGGGGGGTGGCGGTCCTCGGTTAGTTGGATGGATAAGCCAAGTTGGTTCGGCTGTGGGGGGCAGCGATACCTCCCAAGTTGAAGGTTTTTGTCTGGCAAATCCTTAGTCGGTCTTTACCAACTACTGAAGCGCTCATTGAAAAAAAGGTTCCGGTTCTCCCCCGATGTCCGGTTTGCTAGGAAAGTCCGGAGACAATGGAGCACTTGTTTCTTGATTGCCCGGTTGCGCGAGCCCTCTGGGATTACTCGGGGCTGGAATACTTGGGGGAGGGACTGCCTCGGCACACGTTCCCCTTGTTTCTTTAGCGTCTGTTGGCTCTGATCCATCATCCACATTTGTTCATGGCGGTGGTTGCTATCCTCTGGCGGATATGGCGTTCCCGGAATTGGGTTGTCTTTGAAGGCAAATAGTTTGGGATTCCTGCGCTAATGCGTCAATTCAATCAGCAATTTGAAGAATGGGTGAGCTTGCCAGTTGACCAGGTCCCTAGGGGGTCTTTTCCGGTACTGCAGCCCTTAAGTGAAGAGGATGATTCCCGCTTTATATGCATGTGGGATGGAGCAACTAGGAATGGATCGCACTCCGCTGGTGGAATGGTACTGTTCGATCCGGCGCGATCGCTTCTATTGGCGAAGGGGGTTTAGTTCCCCCAGATTGATGAGCCTAAGATGGTGGAATTGCTTGTGCTGCGGGAGGCTGTGGCTTGGTGTGTGGAGTGTGGTTTGTCATAGGTCCGGTTCGAGGGGGATGCGAAGCTTCTTATTGATAAGATCAACCAAGCCGACGTAAGGGATAGCCGTCTGGGTGTTGTCTTGGAGGAGATTGATCAAAGTTTACGCATCCACTTTGGGTTTAGTGTGCGATTTGTAGGTTGGGAGAACAATAGGGTAGCTCATTCGGTAGCTAGAAAAGCACTCTCTCTGTATCCGACTGTTTTTCGCCTCTTTAATTTCCGGGTCTAGCTTGTTTCCAGGATGTAACTATCTTTTTTGATCAATATATGATATCTTTTTGAAAAAAAAAAAACTCCATCCAAACGATGCAACTTCTTTACTCCATATGATCCTTTTTCTCAAGCCAACGGCTTACTTGAAGCGGCCACTTGGTGATCGACAATGACTGACTTAAAAGACTGCTTGCATTACGAAGAATCAAACATACACATAGATTTGCGGGACTACAAGGTGATGATGATGAGCCACATTATTCTTCGAGGTTCGTCAAGATTTTAAAATCTACCATCGGCTACGATAAGCGTTTTATTCCAACAAAGAAAGAGACACCCAAAACAAACTCAAAATGGAAAGATAAACCTTACCAGACTTGTTTTCTTTCTCACATCTTATTCGACACGTACGTACGATCCATTTTTTCGACACCAACGACTTGGGTGATCGACAGTGAGCGAGCAATCAATCGTCTGACCACGTGACCGCCATTAGGCCCCACTGGTTGCGCGGCACCTTCAGGGCTTCCCACACGGCTTTGGAGGCGTCGACGATATTGGGCTTGCAGTGGGCGTGCGCGACGTCGCATTCATCCACCACGCGTGCTGTCGCCGAATTCCCATTGGGCCCTCGAATGGTGATGGACCGGAAACACCGCTGCCCGTCAGCGTACCACGGGGTCGACAGCGCCACTACCGGCGTGTCGTCCGGGTGGAACTTGCCGTCGCACTCTGACGGCCCGCCACCTGACTCGCCCTTCTGGAACCCGTTTATCGTCAGCTCGGCTTTGGCATTTCTGATCCTCGCGAATTTGGCCGCTGCTTCGCCAATAACGGTGCTGTTAGCGGCGGATTTCTCGTACACGATTCGGCACGCAGCTCGAGAGGAGCAGAACGCCAGGAGAACAGCCAGTGTGATTGAGATGCAATGCTTCGTGTCCATGATTAGACGGAAGCAAACAACTTCTGTGGCTGCTGAATGATCAGTTGAGGATGTTGTCATGCGGGTTTATATGCAAAAACTATGGCGGGGGTGCGTATGCGAATGCGTACACAGGTGGCATTATATTACTGGAGGGGGAGAATGATTCTTACATTTCTAGTAGATATCTAAGGGGTTTGTATACTTTTTTGGTTTGTTTTGTAGCTCTTGAGAATTAGTGTTATGATTCTCTTAATTACAACGGGATTGATTAATAAAATAATGGTGCGTTGCTGACGACTATGCAAATAAATTAGGGTTGTGTGGAAATTACAGTAGTCATCGCCAACCAGTAGTAAGCCGTCCATTTTGAACCCTGTGGCTAATGTAACGACGGAACGTATGAGATCGAGGTGCCTAACTAAAACCTTTAGCATAACTCCAATCCTCTCTCTTTCATGTTCAACCGATTAGAGTTCTTCTTTTCCATCACCGATTTTAAACATTATTAACAAAATAATAATGAGATTAAATATAATACGTAGGACTAATTATATAAAAAAAGAATACGTATGACACCATCTACTTTAATTATTCACCTGCTGTAAGTTTATTTAATTCTCGTATATACTAGTGTCTATTGGCAAAAACAAATTACTTTTATATATTTTGACAAAAAAAAAACCATTGGAAAAATCAAAATACTATGATGGTAGGGAGTGGATAGGGTGCTAACACTTACATTCATTAATGGTATTATTGTATTTTAACTCTTCTCTCTTTCCTTTTCCCTTCTCTTCTCCTCCCCTTCCATTCACGTTGTTTTTCCATGTTTTATTTACAAATTACAGTATTGGTACCTAAACTTCATAGGTATTATTATTTAGTATCTAAAATTATTTTTTTACATTCGAGTACTAAAAATATCGATGGAAAATTACATTTAGTACTTGATTTTTCCCCTTACATTTTGGTACCTAAATTTTTACAAATTTACAAACCGGTCCACTATTTGTGGCATGCTTTATATATAAACTTGTGGCATGCTATGTGGTCTTGTGGCATGCTTTGAGGTTGTGACGTTATTTAGGAGGTTGTGGCATGCTTTGAGGTTGTGGCGTTATTTAGGAGGTTGTGGCATGCTTTGAGGGGGTTGTAGCGTGCTTTGATGTTGTGGCATGCTTGGAGGAGGTTGTGGCATGGTTTGTGGTCCCCCTTCCCTCCCCTTTCCCAATTTTTTCATAATACCAAGCGTGCCCCTTCTTCACATTCCCCCTTATTAATTGTGGTCATCTCATTTAAATAAAAAAGTCATTCAAACGAAATATTTTGATTGATTGGAGCTAACACACTAACAAAAAAAGGGTTAGCACCCTAGCCCTCCCGTGATAGTACATAAGTTATATAGAAAAAGTATGAGCGATATACAAAAATACTATTTACCTAAGATGTAAATTTTGTAGCACATCGGTTAATTACGAGAAATAATATTTCATTAAGTCATAAATTAATCATTCTACCGTATAAATTCATATGGATGGCTTTCAATGGTTTTATCAGACCAACTTTATTATCAATTGAAAGAAGTTAAGATGACCACATGTATTAAGTTACTTAGGCTCGTGGCACCCAGGCCATTATGCACCCTACATCCCTTTATATCACTCCATCAACTCCAAATTTTGGCTTAGTGTTGATTATCCACGCTCATGTCATGAGAAGTGTGAATCGCATACCCCATTGTGTTATCAAAGGGGCCATCAGTTTACCTCTAGTGCAATGAGGCGGGTAGAAATTGGCTAACTATGGAGGAGAGGAGCGAGATAATGTGTAACTTAATGATGAGAGCATACTCTTGACCAAATATTGATGAACCCATGTGATGAGTGGGGTCATCATCGTCTATATCTCTCCTGATGCAGCGACGGGAGGAGCTACCCTCATGAGATGGGGGTCGTAAACATGCCCTAATGTGACGAGGCGGTGATCACTTCGAACAAGACAATGATTAGGGCTCTTTATGTCTTGACACATCTTGCGATAGTCATACAAGTAGCTAGCCAGTCTTGTAATTTGGCAAAGTTGCAAGTACCCCCTTGGTGCGATGAGGAGAAGGGAGAATAACATACACCCTAGGTTGTCAAGATGGAGATGAGGTCAAGTTGCAAGGACGTCGCCTCGCTTCTCCCACGGTCATAAGTGGTGATTTTTTTTTCTTTCAATTTTAACCCACATGATTGATATACCCACTTACAGGTGACAAGAATTGGTCTTCCTGCAATAGTAATTTTTCTTAGCTTACAAACAAATTTAAGGAAGATCTACTATGTAGATGGGACCAAGACTGAAGAGGAGACCACTACCATTGATACGGGATCATCAAAGCATATGAGAGCGTAATTGTAACTCCACGTAAGCAAATAAGTTTCTCAAGGTAGTTACTTCTTGTCGCTTTAAAGAGGAGATGAAGATGGCAGATGAAAGATGAAAGATTCGTCAAATTCACTCCAAACAACCTAATGTCAAATTTAATCATTTTTCATTTCCTCCACAAATTTTGGCCATAGTTATAGTTTTAAAAATTTCATCGAACCTCCATAGAAAGAGATTAATTTACTATATTTTAGTCTCATACATCATAAAAAAAAAAAAAATTAATATCGTGGTGATAAAGACCTCGAGATATAAAGCCAGTGTTCATATACATCCTTCCACACATCTCTCACCAAAAATGCCTCACTTTCACTACATCATCTAGCTTTGTCCAATGTACCATCATCAATGATACCAAATCTTCCCAACAACCAAAATTCACGGGAGGAACATCCCTCTACAAACAGACCCTCACTACTTTCATATATAAAAGGCTAACATTGGAGTTACTATTCATTAATGGAAACCAAACTCCTCCAACTGCAAGTGGGGAAGTTTCAAGTCCCTCTTTTACCTCACTCTCTGATTCTATAACATATGTGTTGATCTGTTGTCTGTCGGGTCTAGATCTATGGCCAGTTAGGTTTGCCATAGTAATTATTGTCTACTTAAGTTTTCATATCCTTAGGTTTTTGTCTATGATCTTCAGCCCAAATCATTGCCTTGGCCCACGAATTCACAACCCATCTCGAAACACGACCTCTACAAATATCCATAACATATCTATTATGCATAATCCATAACACATTTATTATGATGAAGAATTCATATACTCATATATTCATTCATATATAAAAGCCTAACATTGGAGTTACTATTCATTGGTGGCTCCCAAACTCCTCAAAGTGCAAGTGGGGAAGTTTCAAGTCCCTCTTTTACCTCACTCTCTCGTTATATAACCTATGTGTTCATCTATTGTCCGTCGGGTCTAGATCTATGGCCAATTAGGTTTCCCATAGTAATTATTGTCTACTTAAGTTTTCATATCCTTAGGTTTTTGTCTATGATCTTCAGCCCAAATCATCGCCTTGGCCCACCAATTCACAACCCATCTCGAAACACGACCTCTACTGAATATCCATAACATATCTATTATGCATAATCCATAACACATTTATTATGATGAAGAATTCATATACTCATATATTCATTCATATATAAAAGTATAACATTGGAGTTACTATTCATTGGTGGCTCCCAAACTCCTCAAAGTGCAAGTGGGGAAGTTTCAAGTCCCTCTTTTACCTCACTCTCTCCTTATATAACCTATGTGTTCATCTATTGTCCGTCGGATCTAGATCTATGGCCAATTAGGTTTCCCATAGTAATTATTGTCTACTTATCTAAAATAACATATTGTTTAGTGGATAAAATGCTAAATGATATTGGTTATGTAGATATGATAATAATCTATCCGTTTGAGGATAATTTCATTTCATAAGATCGATTTAGTTCAATAAAAAAATGTTAACTTCACTCTATATTAACTAATATACCGTTGGAGCGCCCTTAGCGCTCCGTTCCCCACCAAAAAAAAAACTAATATACCTATTTTTACTCAAAATTGTGTCGAGTTTAGGTTTACTGGAAAAAAACATTTTTATAATTAAAAAATATTTTTTTTTGTTAAAAACTGTACAGAAAAATTCAGGATACCGTTTCGGAATAATACCGGAATATAGTGGATAACAAAATAGAGGACATAAATTATTATATAAAGCCGTCTCCAAATACAATCTATTTTCCACCAAACATTGGAACAAAAAACTCCACCGTATACTAAAATCAGTCAAAAGCATGAAACAAGGGAGGGAGAGTGGGTGACTCGAGCAGTTCCTTACCTTGAAGGTTTGAACTCGCGTTCTTGTCTTGAGCAGGGCCGACGCGTTTTTGTCTTCTTCAGCAGCATGGGAGGGAACCTCGAGTAGGCGGAGCAGCTGAGGAGAGAAGAGCAACGACGGAGCGGATCAGGGATCGACACCAGTCGCCAATCGCCAGGGAGCGGAGCAGGGAGCGGGTTTCCTCTTTGCTTTCTCCAGTCCCACGTCGTGGGTCGCCATCGCGGGGTCGTCGATCGTGGGTCGCCACTTGTAGTCGCGGGAGGAGAATAGGAGCGGCGGGCGGTGCTGGGGTTTGGGGAATGGAAACGATGAAAGGAAAGGGTGGCCATATTAGGGTTTTGCGTTTTTTAGTTTTTGGCCTTTGGCCGATTTGTTTTTTATTTTTTTATTTTCAGTGTCAGAACGGTGGCGTTTTCTTACAGTGAGCCTACCGTCGATTAGAACAAAGCCGGGCAGTATTTTCGTTCGCATTGGTTAAGCCGTAAAAATCGGCCGATAAGATATTCTGAAGCCAACCAGCCTACCGTATCGTGCTTGGTTCAGTTTTCGATTTTTCCGGTTAAACCGGCCGGTACGATCCAGTTTCCTGGTCCATGCTTGAAATATTACAATTCTATCGATTATCTAATCTAACATCTAATAAGTTCATTGTTTGGTAAACTATTAGTTTGTTTTCCATAGATAATGGTTTGAGTAGTTTCGATGCAAGAACCTTCTCACAGAGTACGTCACTCGAGCGACGAGCATTCAGTCTCTTTCTACCTTCCTCTTACTTGTCTTGACGGAACGGTAAATTAAAAAAGAATAGCAAGAAGGATATTAATTTCCAGTTAACAATATAATGTGTAGGGTGGTTCGGGTTTAACCATTTTAATCACCCAACTCATGACCTACGGTTTTGAAAATATTAAATCCAAACCCACCCAACAAATTTAAACCCTATTATTTGTATATAATTGGGTCGGGTCGGGTTGACGATATTCTTAAGTAAAAACCCAACCAACACAAAAAATGATTATTCTATACCATAAAAATATTATATAACTAACTAATAAATTCAAATCAATAAACCGACATGAAAAGCATCAAAATGTATAAATGTTGTTTGAATTTTAATAAAATGGAATTTGCTTCAACATATATCTAGTTTTTAAAAAGAGGATATAAACAAATACATCTATAATATATTATCTATCAAAATTGTATACAAGAAAAAGGGTTATGTGAATCGTAGCCTATGTTAAATTTATGTCTAAATTTAAGTCGAAAAATGTATAGGTTACGTGAATCGCAAATATGCTTATACAAGACACAATTATTTTTTTATAGAACACTCATCCTAATAGTTGGTATACGGGTTGGGTCGGGTTGTACAAAAAAAATAACCCCTCATCCAACCTTAAACTGGGTGGGTTGGGTCGAGTTGAATTGATAGATTGGTTTGCGGGTCACTTTGTTCAACCCTAATAATGTGTTTAATTTATGTTATGATTTTCATTTTATTAGATTATAATAAATTAGTACCACATTTAATTTTTGTAAGATAACCTCCAAAATTTTAGTGCCGACCTTACTTCTTCTCAAAGCCCTCAATAACATGTGAAAAAAAAAAAACAATAACAACATATCTACCTCATACTATATCCCTTTCTTTTCATTAACCATGGAAAAACTCAAATCAAAGTGTCAAATCACAAACAATTCACATTCACTTGGATTTTGAGGCCAAAGTGTTGACACCACCATCACTTTGGCATATTTAATTTAGAAATAAAGTATTACCTTTACCTGATTGCTTGATGAAAGGGTCATGTCCCCATACAATTCGACAATCTTAGAGGTTCTTTAATACTTTTAGAGACAGGGTAACCATAAGTACATTTATTTGTGGGATTTTAGAGATATATAGTGTCAATTTATCATTTGGCAATAATCGAATAACAATGTCATTTTAATGTGATACAAAAAATGTTTATTTTGAATGCAGTAATAAAGAAAAACCAATCTCATTATAGTTTTAATGTTTATTAAGATCAGGACTTCTTATGTGATCATGATTATGAACCAAAAAATGTGTGATCCAACCATCATTAATATGTAAAAACATCCTAACCTCAATAGACATTACTACTATAGCCCAATGCAAGATGAACAATTAATTCTAGAGATCTCCTGATCAGTAATCTCCCTTGTACATGAACTTCCCCACTACTTCAATAACTTTGGTTGATAAGACTTCTGAGTAAGGATCGTTGGTGAAGAAACCATGTTGCTCTCCTTCAATTTCCACATACTCAGCCACGTTCCCCATCTCTCTCAATTTCACGGCGTACTCCTTTGCCCGATCTTTCAGTAATTCACGGCTGCCGACGATCAATAAGATTGGATCTAGATCCACTTTAGTTGCTGCTTCCGGTGATGATGATAAGTAGCCCAATGGGTTGGCCAACCAGTGGTCTCTGTTCTCCCCAATAGGCAAAGCTAGCCTCCAAAACCTATGTCGGAATAAATGAAGTCGATCATTAATTACATGGTTGACCTCAACCAGCCAATTTACTGCTACATATTATTTTTCTCATTGCTAAACGTCGTTCTAAATTTAATATGGAAATTATATCGTCCATTTTAATTTTACATTCCAACCATCAACCAAACAATTATTTTTCTTCGCCAAAATCAGAGAATCCATATTTCTCTCTCTCACTAGAACCGCCACAGGGAGCATGGTGATCTCTCATTCTCTCTTGACAGAAATCGCCAATTACCTCTTTTTTCTTTTCTCTCCCTTGTCGATTACTTTAATTTCAATTGTTACAAATTTTATATGTAATCCTATCTGTACTTTAAAGTATATCTCGTAGTTTCAATCCACCTTCACTACTAGTCAAGTGCGAAGCCAACCATATTTATTTATGTCAACTATATGATTAAAAAAATTATATAAGAAAACAAAAAGATTCGAATTCAAACCATTTTAAGATATTAAATAAAAAATTACTTAAGTATTAAACTTCATCAGCTAACACTTAAAATTACTTATAAGAAATAATTTTAAAATTAAATCGTATAGAAGATAATACAAAAAATTAATAAAATATTTTGCGTTAAATTCGTGATTTAATAACCCTAAAATCAAATATGATAACTGATAAGCAATTTTTCAGATGTAAGATTTTTTTTAACAAATTATATATATTTTTTTACCTGTCTAGATCCTCCAAACTCAGCATTTCTTCCCTAGGCCCTTCCTCCGATTCTGTCCTATCCACCCCTCCAAAAAAAGGCGCCAGCAGAACAAACCCTCTCACTCGAACCGGAGCCAGACCGGGCGAACCACTTCCAAACCGTACCGCCAGCTGATGAGCAATGTTCCCACCCGACGAATCCCCCATAACGAAGACCCGGTCAAAGTCAACTCCCTCCGGCGCCAGCCAATCCTCCTCGTACCCTTCACCACAAGACGCTGTCGCCTGAGCTTTCAGCCAGTACATGACAGCTTCCCCGTCATCCACCGCCGCCGGCAGCCTATGTTCCGGTGCCAGACGGTAATCAGGCGCGACGACCACCACGTCGAGCCCCGACGCCAGCCGCTGGCAGCTGTTGTGGAAGTTGGGCCAGTCTCGCGAGCCCAAGCAGAAGCCGCCGCCGTGGAGGTAGACGAGGATCGGCAGCTTTTTTCGCCGTCCTCCTCCGTCGCGGCGGTCGGATACGGGCTTGTAGATGCGGAGGTGGAGGCCGTGAGGTTCGTCGTAGAGGCAATCCTTGTAGGAGACGGCGTCGTCGCGGATTCGTGGAAGGTTGAACTTCAGAAAGTCGATGTCTTTGAGCCTCGAAACGGTGCCGTCGTTGTATAGTTGTACGAATCCCATGCAGTCTTCCACTACGTGTGGAATTGTTGCTGCTGCTGCTGAGGCCTTTTTGGAGTGCTGCTTAGTTACTGCGTGCGTCATCCTGGCTGCAATGATATTATATATGAACATACATAGTTATTATTAGTATGTAATAGGGGGAATCACGACATCAATTTGCACGACTAGAAACTCGAAGAACTAGAAGTCTAGAACGCGTGGATGCGTAAAAATATATATAGTAAAAAGAAAGAAATAGTAAAAATCTATATAGTAAAAATATGGAATTCACACTTTTAAATTATAAAATATATAGTAAAAAGCAATGTTATCAAAAGCAAACCGGAGTATGACCCGATAAAGTGAACGATTCGATCTTTTGCGGTCCAATCGACATTAAACCGTTTAAAAACTGTTAGAAAACCGGTAACTAATAACCAATCATTATAACTAGTAATGGTAAACCATGACTAAATCAGTAAATTACACTCTTAACAATTCCAAAACATGAGTACCAGAAGTTTTAGAATCCAATTCCAAACTACCACATTGTTCAAAATTAAAAGCAATGTCACACGAGTCTGAACATGAACCGGAGTCTCAAATAGAACGACCAAAAGGGGGAAAACCGAGCGACCGGTTCGAGCGGTTAACCACCTCGGCCGCTCGCAGGACGTTCCATAAAACCGTAGCGGCTAAATAACTGGCCCGAGCCGATTTTTCGGCCGAATGGCGGTTTTAGCGATCCGACCGACCAGCACGGTCCGGTCTTAATAACACTGGTAAAAAGAAAGAAATAGTAAAAATAAAAAAACCCTAAACTTTAAAATTCTGAACTCCTTAACTTTCAGTCGACTATAAATAATCCGATTCAAATCATATCAACTAAAAATGCAGAATTAACATGCATGGGAGTAAAAATGCAGAAGACGAGCCACGACAAGTTTAATTTTACTATGGCGAATGATGTGAAGAAAAATAACTGCGGTGAATTATTGTGATATGCTGTCACATGGAATAATTACCTTTTCTGAGCACTGAGCTAAGGCCTGGGGTACGTAATTGCAGCAAGCTATCGCGCTCCTAGTTGCAAGTAGTTGAGCAAATTATTAAGCTGGTGGGCTGGCTTCAATGGGTTGTCTTGTCAGAATGAGTTTCTGAATAGTATTTGTTGCTGGAATGGAACTTCTGTATATATAGGTGGATAGCAGTAGGGGATGGTATTAATCTAACGTTCAGACGCGGAATTCGCTCCAATGATTCCGGAAATATTTGTAACAATATATTCGTAACTAGTTTCGCCGGCAGGTTGCCTGCCTGCCGGCCACCGGCCTTTTAATTCATACTCCTCCTTCAACGTCCATATTCCTTTATCAAATAGATATGTTATGAAATTGAATTAGTTCCAATCTCGGACAAGGGGGAGGCATGCAGGCCATCGTTCCACTCTATTAAGTATATGAACTTAGATATATGGTTGCCACATCACAAATTAGATTTATTGCTTTGTTTATATGTGATTTTTCGGATTCTTATGAGGTTTTATACTTAGTTTTAGAAATAAGCGAAATGACGTACAGAGCCCACCTAGCTCCAACCCTGATGTAAACATAGCTTTGTCAAAACATACAATCTTATGAAGAATTTAAATTAATGGAATTTTCGATAATTACATCAACAAAAGGTTAGTGCCATGCAGAGGGTGTTATTTTTTCCTCAAGTAATGACAAGGTAAAATAGTAATAACTCTACCCAAAACCCCCAAGTAACAACTAATGAAGCAATCCTACAAAGTCAAATGAAGTTATCTCTACATAGGATACCAGCAGAGCTTGTCTTGTCACTCTAGGGGCAGCCCAGTTGATAGTCCGTGAGACCGACCTAAATTCTATACAAGAAGAACAAGAATGCAACAGATGAAAACAGTCACGAAGTAAGGGACCGCCTACCGAGTCTTCACAACATCTACCGTCAAGTTGCCGAATGACCACTTCAGAATCACCTCCAATAATGACTCGAAGAAGGTTTCGGGATAGCACTAGTGAAATGGCATTGACAGTAAGCAGCTCTGCAAGGTAAGGATTCGACACTCCCGGATGTTGAAATCACAAGGCCAAAGAAACTTGGGAGGACGTCCTCCCACCTACTATTGGGAGGACGTCCTCCCAACGGATAATATGATATTTTTGTAATGATAATATAGTATACGATTTACAGGAACACATATTCGTCTAACAAGAAAAATGTATTCTTATAATAGATAGTATTATGAAATCAAGCATTCAAGAATATCATATTATCACAACATACATATCATCAAGCCTTCAAGAATATCATATTCTCATAACATAAATATCATCAAGCCTTCAATAATATCATATTCTCATAACATAAATATCATATTCTTGAAAGCTTGATTCTATACTACTATCAATTATAAGCATACATTTTTCTTGTTGGACGAATATGTATTCCTGTAGATTGTATACTATATTATCATTACATAAATATCATATTCTCCGTTGGGGGGATGTCCTCCAACATTAGGTGAGAGGACCTTATCTTTTCTGCCCATGAACCCCGCGGATACCCAGCGGATTGAGTCGGGTTTGAGTTTTCCAAATCCAGTGGGTTTTACCTCGTGTTTTTTTGGTGGATAAACACATGGGTTTGGATTTGGGTTTGGCAATAACCCGCCCCAACCAGACCCACTGTCATCCCTAGTCAAGCGCCCAAGTTATTTTCCAAATAGAAGGGTTTATTATATGAGCCACTGACTTCTGACTAGCTATCAAGATATTTTCCAAAGCAAGATGGTAGTCTGTTTTAACCGAATAAAACCCATTTTTCGTGAAATGCTAAATTTGTTTATCTTGTTGCAGTAGTATGGGAACTACCATCTTACAAATGAGTTCTACTGATTTCTTCGTGAAGCAATACCTTAGTCTAGGGACATGTCATACCCCTTCTCCTTCTCTAATAAAAAAGACACTCTCGAACTATTATTGACTTCTTGAAGCATTAGTTCGGGAGGGGAGGGCTTATCAGATAATAATCAATTATCTTTGAAAGCATCTATATCTTTTCCATCCCCTACCTGCCAACGCATTTCTTGTTGGAGGAGATCTCGTCTAGATAAAATGCTTCTGCATCGCCAAGATGGGTTAGAGTCTATTGAAGCGTTCAAGATTGTACTTTGACTGAAGTATCTTCCTATATACGAGCGACTAAGAAGTGAGTTAGGATTTGACCAAATGCGGCAACAGAGCTTAGCTAATAGAGTTTGATTAAATTCCCTAAATTCCCTGAAACTTAGCCCTCCGTGAAATTTACTTTGAGATAGACCTTTCCCAGAAACCCAGTGGATTGGATGGTCAAAATTATAGAGTATCCCACCAAAACCTTGCTATATGCCCATTTAAATGTCGACAAGTGTGAATGATAGACCGTTAATTACACATGTTTTTACCCCTGTTCTTACACCGTGTTTTAGGCCTTTTTACCGCTAGGTTGTGCTTGTTTGTGATATTTCAGGTCCTAGTACGTGAATGGAGGCTTGGGAGCGAGTTTGGGGTCGAAGACGAAGATCGGACGCGTGGCGAGGTGCCAAGGAATCCGCACGGGCAGTCCGGGACATCACACGGCCGTGCAACTTACAATTGTGGCCGTGTGATTTTTGCCGAGAGCAAACACGGGCAGGATGGAAATCTCACACGGCCGTGCGACCCTGGTCGTGTGGGAAGCCTGAAAATCGAACTAATTGATACGCTGCGTTTTGACTCACACGGGCAACTGGGTGAGCCACACGGCCGTGTGGCCTGCTCGTGTGAGTCGGGAAATCTTGGTTTTTTCAGCCAATTTCGAGCCAAAAGTGGGAGAAACGGATTTTCAGAGCAAAAACAGAGCCCTAGAGAGAGAAAGTACGAAGAACACATCCTAGAAGCTATCTTGGAGCTGGGTTTCGTCAAATCGAGCTTGGAGATCGTCATAGGAGTGGAAATCATCATCCCGGAGCAGATTTTCCTCATCATTATGAGTATGACTACCCCGATTACTGTTTTCTTCTCTCTCTCTATGGACTAGAACTCTTCTCTCACTTGGGTATGAAGAACCCTAGTTCCTGGTGTTAGGGATTTGATTGTAATGACTTGGGATGATTATACTGTTTGGTTTTAATCGAATGATGCATGTTTATTGAATTGATTGAAGTCTGATCAGCTTTTCTTGATTTCTGCTGCAACCTGAGATAGATAGAATCTGATTAGGTTGTTAGAGCCTCTTCATTCGATAGTAGGAGATTGGTTATACGAGAGTTAGCCAGTTTACTGCTTTGTACTGGAATCCAATTCCAGTAGTGGAGTTCTGTGCTTATTGCTTCAGCTTTCTATCCCGGTGAAGACTAGTCGTCTGCCGGGTAGTTAGACTGAGAGGGCTTGGTCAGCTTAAGAGATTCCAAGCTACTGTCGGATCTTCCGCAGTCTAATCAACAGTAACTCAACCCAGGGTAATTATAATTGAACCTAACTAAGGAGCTAGGGGGACTCATTCCCGAGTGACTCTTTCCTGCTTGAGAAAACCGAATAATTTCCTACTTTCTTACTGCTTTTGATTTAAACAACAATCAATCGAATTAGTTGGCTAGATAATAGATAATCACGGAGTAAGCAGTAGATCTAGACCCCGGGTTGATAATTGAACTTGCCTGTACTGCATTCCCGGGCTGCGATTACACTTGGTCGCGGTTTGGTGTTGTGTTTTGGCGTGTCAAGTTCTTGGCTGCTTATGATGAGCGCCTGGACATGATCCAGACCCAGCAGGGGGTGACTCTCGCAACCATCGAGCGGGAGAAGCGCCGCTCTAGGCGCATGCAGGAGGTTCAACAGCACTTACTCCAGCTGCTACCGGGCGAGCAGCCCGTCTGGAGGACTCCCTGGGAGGACTCTCCACTTCCACCTCCCCCAGCGGATGGAGATGATGGTGCTGATGGTGATGACGCCTTCATGGACGACATCGATCTGGATAATCTTGGCGACGAGTAGGTTGTACTCGTTGCCCATCTCAGGGTGTTTTGTTTTTCGTTTTAGACTTGTGTGTGTTTGCTC